AATTAGGCAGAGACTTAAAAGTAAAGATGGACTGCAATGCTGTGGAGTCTGTTCAAGAAATTCCCAGGAAGCCAGGACTATTACACAGACAGGTCATTGGTTGCCTACAAAACTGAAAACTGTATGGTGAATGACTGGATAAATGAACACATCTAAAAAGCTTTCATTTTTACAGCTTAAAAAATATAAAGTAAAAACTTCAAGAAAAAGTACACATTGGAAACCTGACCGCTCCTTCAGCTTTATCTAATTAAAGACCTGTACCTGGTCCAGTGACACCACACTAAAAATACTTCTGCCAAGGTATCTCGTGCTGTAACACACATATATAAAAACGGAAATATCTGTCAATCTTCTTCTGCTAATCATCCAGAGGCACTGTGTTTTTGGTGTTTATTTGTCCACGTAGGTAGTGAGGTAGGGACCATATCTTCTTCTGTGTTCCACATAGGGGATTGCGTACACTGTCCACACCCAGCAAATATATAATAATAATAATAATAATAATAATAATAAATACTACTACTAATAATAATGTAGCAGCAGTATCTGGGAAAAGGTACAACCACTGGCTTTAAGCCTCCTCCTTCCTTCCACATCACAGACTCCCTTCCCCCAAGTAAATGAGGACTGGCCATGCCTCCCTTTGAAACCAGTCTAAGTGGGAAGAGTGGGAAGATGTGATCAAAACACTGTTGTAACACTACTGGGAGTCACCAAATTGGAGATTCTCTTGCTAGTTCTGCTTAGTAAATTGTTCAAGCAGTTAGCCATTTAAGAAATACTTAGGCAGCTGTGGGTTACTTCTTTTCAGACACTGGGCATATCTCCAACAATCTAATTTTCTTAGTTGTAAACTGCTGACTATACCCACACAAACAAACAAAACATTATAACTGGGCCTTTGATTTTCCCTGGAAGAGGGAGGGAAGAGCTGTGCAGTTAGAAGGAGCTCAAGACAGTAACTTAGGATATTTAAGAATTAAAAAAATATATATATATCCAGGCCACTGATGTCATATCTGTCTTCTAGAAAAATTGGAATATTACAATTTCTCTCAGGTTCACAACAAGGTAAATAAGAGTTGTGTGGAGCCTCTGTTGAAAAGTATGGGGCTGTAGCCTGGCCTGGGTTTATATCTTTGCTAACACTAGCAAACTGGTAAAGCACACAAATCTGACCCCCAGCTCTGAGCCCAGCCCCTGTGAGCCGGGCACCCCTCGACCCAGAGCCTAGCTCCCCACCCAGCCCTGGGCAACAGCAGCGCCACCCCCAGGCAGCACCAGCCCATTGGCACCAACCATCACCCAGCGACAGCCCATTATGTAATTGCAAATGTATACATACCATTAAAGCATTTAATGTTTTTAAATAATGTATTTCATGTATTTTCAAATTATTAAAAATTAATTTTTGAATGTATTTCACTGGTTATTTTTACATTTCCAAATACATGTTACTATAGTATTGCAACTTTTTTTTATGGAAGGGGCCCCTAAAATTGCTTTGCCCCAGGCCCCCTGAATCCTCTGGGCGGCCCTGGTGAGAGCTACTTTAAAGCTACGGTAAAGTTACTTTACTCAATACATTTACAAGAGTTGGCAACACTTACTGTCACGCACATTGGAGGTGGGCAGAGGGAATTAAAAAAAAAAAATCATCAAGAGACAGACCAAAATACACAATTATAATTTTTTTTTTAAATGTATGATGGGGGGGGGAGGTGTCTGACTCGATTTTTGAACTACTGGGCTTGTCAATACTGTAGTTGAATTCCACATGGAATTTGGGAAGAGTTCACATTAATTATTATGTATGCACCTTCTCAAAACACAGGATCCTCTACAGCAGTTCTTTTGTAGAGATTACAAGAAACTGTGGCAAAAATAAGGCCAGTTTTCATTTTCAGTGTCAGGTGGGACATGCCAGTCAGTCAGTGCAAACAGGGTTTTTAATTATAGGTCAAATCAGATCAGCAGTTTGTCCTTAAAAGAGAGAGACAACATATATAGAACTCAATTTTAACTAACAACCTATGTAGAGAAATCACTCAGACTATGACTAAGGTGATTTAAAAATAAACCAAGACAATATTTAAGATGCAGCATTTCTTGTTACTTGGCTACAAATTATGTACAGTACTGTAAATCTTAAACTATCTTAGATAAAACCATAAACATGTAATTCAATGGCTACCCACAGAAACTCACTGTCTGGCCACCAGGCAACAAAACAGAATGGCAAATTATGGTCAAGTCTAAGATTTTGTCACGGATATTTTTAGTAAAAGTCACAGATAAGTCATGGGCAATAAAAATATCCATGATAAAATGGGAAGGTGCTAGGCACATGCCGGGGGGCTGGGGGTTCCGGGCCCCCCCCCCCCCCCCCACACCACCACCTGAGGCGCGGAGCTGTGGGGTTCCCCCATGCCACCAGAGCTGCGGGGTACCCAATTATGTAGGTGTACCTATTACAACACTGTTGTCCCCTGTTATGGTTTAAAAACATAATTCAGTGATACAATGTACATGGGACTTAACCATGTGTTTATAATTTAAATTTAGTTTAAATACTATCTAGTCAGCACATACATATTTGAACAAAAAATTTTCATTGCAAGTCTTGATTATGCAAAATCACTGCAGTCTTACTTTCTATGCGCGCTCAGCACTTAACCATGTGCACACACACTTTGCCTCAAAAGTGTGTAATATTCACAGAAGAAATTAGTGTTTTCAATGTGCTTAATATTGCTACATGTCATGTGTTTTTTTTAATTTGGAAGAAATTTTAGACAATCGCACTTCCACAAAGCAAATAAATGGCCATTATGTCTTCCCCATGAGAGCAGTTAAATTATTTTCAAGGCCATAATCTAAGTTGCTTAAAGGAAATAGAGCTTGTTCACTGAGCAGTCACAAAATCTGGGAAGCATTTCTTGTTTTAAGTATTAGTATCGACATATTTTAAAAGTTACTGAGCCAGTATATATGTATGAGATTTACACAAATAAAAAAAGATACAGAAAACAGGATTTCAGACATGTTACTCAGATCAGCTTTAGCACAGTTCTAGAAATTCTGAATCTTTTAATGAAACCATATAGAGATTAGCGTTTCAAAATGAAGTTCTTCTGACCATCCCTCACACATGTTTATTTATTAACATCTGGTTGCCTACTTTTTCTTTTATTTTCTGTTTTACATAAAGGTATTGGAGTTTTCACAGAGGAAAGTGAAAGAAATATTAAATTTCTTCCTACAGTATTTATAAAAGTATACATTAACAACCTGCCAACTCCAGTTACTGATTCCATGGCATATGTTGTGTAGGGTTCTTCTCAGTCATCATCCCTCTTTCAAATAATTACTTCATTATCTGCCATACGAAGAACTAAAGACTTTTCTTTTTTCTGCAGCAGTAGTTTTTAGTCTGATGCATGGCATCAAACTGGTGTATTGTGAGTACTTCACATTAAAATAATCCAAAAGCCCTAGTGCCAGCTAAACCAGAGATTTGCAGTGTACAGTTTCAGACTACAGTTTAAAGTACAGTATAAAATACTACTAGATCTCACTCACTTCTCTCCCTACTGGCCCAGAAAGTAGGTTACATTCAAATAATTCCAGACTTAAAAAATGAAAAATACTCTTGGGGCATAAAAAGAGAACGATACTTATCCTATTTCCATAAAATTGTTATAAACATACTCAAAACTTGGGCATTTCATTAGATGTCAATCAGCAGGTGGCTCAAATATTCTACAACTCTCAGTAATGAAAAATAGCTAGTTTCCCTTATGTGCATTTTTAAGTTGAAATATAATGCTTCTGAAGATTTATAAATGCTGTACCCTATAAACTGACACAGAATCCACTGCTCTGTCCATAATCTTTACTGATTTAATATTTAAACCTGCTAGACTCTAGTTACCATATACCTGACTCCAGGCCTGTTTAAAAACACAACGTACAATTAGGGATCATTGGTACAATAACTCCTCGCTTAACGTTGTAGTTATGTTCCTGAAAAATGCGACTTTAAGTGAAACGATGTTAAAGGAATCCAATTTCCCCATAAGAATTAATGTTAATGGGGAAGTTAGGTTCCAGGGAAATTTGTTTTTGCCCGACAAAAGGTATTATATACATTTTAAACAATTTTAAACAAGCAATTTAATACGGGTATCCTGTATAAGTTTTAAACAAGTAATTTAATACAGGTATTAAACAGGCTGGCAGCCCCCCATCAGCTCCCTTATGCCCACCCCCAGTGCCTCCCGCCCACCGGTGGACTCCACGGATCAGCACCTTTTCCCTACTCCCCCCGCTTCCTGCCCGCGGCAATCAGCTGTCTTGCGGCGTTCAGGAAGTTGGGGGGAGGAGCGAGGTCGCGGCACGCAGCCTCCCCACTCCCTCCCCTGCCTCCTGCCCTCAGCAATCAGCTGGTTTGCAGTGTTTAGGAGGCGCTGCATCCTCGCTCCTCCCCCCAGCCTCCTGAACACCACAAATCAGCTGATTGCCGCGTGCAGGAGGAGCAGGGGGAAAGCGCTGATCCGCGGGGTCTCCCAGCAGGCGTGATGCGCTGGGAGGGTGGAGGGGGGAAACGTAGGGGGGGGCTGCCATCCGTGGACAAAGCAGGCAGCCAAATGACGTTACAGGGGAGCATTGCACAACTTTAAATGAGCATGTTCTGTAATGGAGTTGGAACGTAAGATCTAAACAACGTTAAGCGAGAGGACGTTAAGTGGGGAGTTACTGTACATAATAAGTCTGATTTTCTCTTCACTGATGAGGCAGCAGTAACTACACTGAAGTTTAGGATTCTCACCCTCCAGGATTGGCCTGGAGTCTCCAAGAATTAAAGATTAATTAAGTTTAAAATGTCATGTGAAGAAATCTCCAGGAATATATCCAATCAAAATTGGCAACCCTACTGAAGCTAAGGCTGAGATAGTATAAAATTCAGAAATTGTTCATGAAATCTGCATACTTACAGTAACTGTGCTTGCTTTTTCCTTTCCTATATTTTAAAATTTTGAAGTTTACACCATCTGTAAAAGAAAATTAACAGAAGGTTTTATTTGAACAGTTCAATTGTAATATTTTCCCTAAATTATTTTAAAATAGACTGTCTAAAATATGAAGTTTGTAGTACCCTAAGTAATATTACCATTATAGAAAGCAATATCTCAATATTTGTTTGCAATATTTCATCTGTCTTCCACATAATGATTTCCCATGACCAAGGCTACGATTTTATCAGGGAGGTCGCGGAAGTCACGGAATCCGTGCCTGCCAAAGACCTCCATGACTTCAGCCCCGGCGACGGAGCTGCAGGGTCCTGCTGCCTCCTGCAGAAGCAGGGAGTTGTAAAGTACCCCCGATTGGGAGGCAGTGGGCCCCCAACCTCCCAGCCGCCCTGGGCAGTGGGGGTACCCTAGTAGCTCCCAGCTGCCGGAGGTAGGGGGGGGTACCCCGGCAGCTCCCCGGCTACCGCCGCGGGGCAGGGGGGTACCCCAGCAGCTCCCCACTGTGGTGGCGGCAGGGGGATTCCCACAGCTCCCCACCGCATGGGAGGGGGCAGGGGAACCTTGCCGCTCCCCTCCGCTGCTGGGGGCAGGGGACCCTGGAGCTCTGAGTCCCCATGGGTGGTGGGGGCCCCAGAGCTCCCAGTCACCCCACAGCTGCCCAGTCCTTTGCACCAAAATAGTCTTAGCTCATCCAAACTATCTCTGGGTATTACACTGGGTGATGTTTGCACTGATTATGGGGAATTCAACTGTCAACTATATTTTCAACCCTTTGTAACTCACTAATTGGAGGTTATTAACCACCTTTTTCATAGTACATCAACTTTGTATATATTTGCATCAGCATGAAGCTGGTTATCTTTCTGCTCTGTTGAGGTAATACTCAAGCTCTACATTACTTTGCTATAGCAAAAGAGGCTGGGGGGCGGGTAGGGAGAAGTAATACTATCCTATAAATAGAGCCCTTTGTTTTCATTTTTAATTTATTTAATTTTTCACAGGAATTTATCACGGTTTATTACGACAAGAACAAAAACAAGTGACAATCAGTGCAAAAAACTATTATTAATTTTTCTGGGTAAACATCGGGGTTTATTTTGGTGGACGGAAAGACCGGGGGGGAAGGGAGAATATTCAGTAGATTAATGCTTTGAACTCCGATCATCAATGTGGTTTGCCGCAGAACTAAAACAGAACTCAAAACACAATGCCACCTGAGTTTAAGAAAACAAACATCTGTCTAATCCCCAAATATAACTTTTCATTTGAATAAATAGTTTACTGTTGTAGACTTAGAACTAATTGCTTATAAATATTTACATTTAATAATTAAACCGCACCATTTGCAGCACATACACTCAACTTCATCCTTTTCTCCTGTTTTTGTTTTTTCAAACTTTCAAATACTGTACTTCTTTGTGTTTTGAAACATATTCTGATACAGATTTTCGTTTTCTTCCCATTTTGATGTGTCAGATCTTTAAACCGTTATCTGGTTTAAACCAGATTCATCAGGACATTCAGATGCCCATGAGCTTCACAGCTTGCGTGTGTGCCTGTTTGTTTATTGTATGTATCTTCTAGACTAATTCATAGCCTTACTCCCAAGAGGCAGCTTTGCATAAACACAGACTAATGTATTATCGTAATACATATATCACATGCAATGTATTGTAGTTTCCCAATAAAACAAGTTATTTTTTATATATTTGAATGATTAAAAAGTAGAGTGAAAATCAGAAAAAAATGAACAATACTTTTTGTAAAATCTGGGCATTTTTCGGTAAAAATCTGTTTAAACTGAAAACGAAGGGGCTTACTTATAAATTAAAAATGTGACCTTTGGTCCAGGTAATATTTCACAATCTATCAAAACACAACTGGCCATGTACAGTGCCACACAGCTCCAATTTATTTTACTCTGCTACTGCAAATTACTAATTGCCCAAAAGCCTGTGATCATACAGCCCTTTCTGAATTGTGTACCATTATACATCTCCATATTGCTCTCAACATTTAAAAAAAAAAAAAAAAAAAAAAAAAAAACTTACCGGAAGATAAATTATTTGGGCTGGATTAGAAACTGAAAAGCTGTTTAAATCCTTTACTTACTGGATACACATGCACAGACATTTGAATAAACATTTAATCAACTAATAGAGGTACGTCATTCTAAAGAGTATATTGGTAAGTGGACAAGGCTTACACATCAAAGCAGCTAAAAACCCTGTAAATCCTGAGGGAATTGGAAGAGAGGAAGATGTCAAGCTATATTATCCCCCTCTTCTCTGTTCAACACATATGTAGCCCCAAATAAATTCTAACACAGAACAGGGAACTGAAATCTGTGTTTGGTGGATGCTGTAGCTTCGTGAATACACCTCTACCTCGATATAACGCGACCCGATATAACATGAATTCTGATATAACGCGGAACAGCAGTGCTCCGGGGGGGCGGGGCTGCGCACTCCGGCTGATCAAAGCAAGTTCGATATAACGCGATTTCACCTATAACGCAGTAAGATTTTTTGGCTCCCGAGGACAGCGTTATATCGAGGTAGAGGTGTATTAGCTGGAATAAAATCCAAATTAGTGTGATTGTTAATTAAAGTAAGGTGATAAAGTCTGTGAGTTTTGGCTGCACTCTGGCCTGGTGAAGATGTTTGTACAAGCTTGCTGGCATTTGCTTCCATTAAAAGAAGACCTGAAATAATGTGAAGCCACAGCTCCACCACTCTTGGCGAAGGCAGGGAGAAAGAAGCATGTTAAAAAGATGACACAGATATATAGTACGATGACAGACAATACTGTAGAGTGTGGCAATTTATATTCCATGCATTTGTAGTTTTGATTAATGAAGCAGCAGTGGTAATAGGGTATAACTGAGGGCCTGTCTACAGTTAAAACGCTGCAGTGTAGATACTACCTATGCGGAGGAGAGGGATTCTCGCATCAGCATAGGTAATCCACCTTCCTGAGAGGCAGTAAGTAGGTTGACAAAAGAATTCTTTTGTCTACCTACCACTGCCTACATGGGGACTTAGGTCAGCTTAACTATGCTGCTCACACCCCTGACCCTTGTAACTATTAAAACTTGCCACGTAAATAATATCAACATTTTAAAATACTAAGAGAAATACTGCTCTGGCCTTTTTTGGAACTTGTACAACATTGTTAAAAAGTGTAATATTCATAGTATTCTGTCCATTCTGTACAGTACAAATACTTAAGAAATGATTTTTTAAAAGCAAGTGCAGTATTAGCTGACCTAAAATGACATGGCAGTTCAATCTTCAATTTAATTTTACAAATATCTACATTCACAAGTTCTTACTATGGGAATACTCAATAGCCCATCAGAAATCCCGATTAAACATGGATGTTATTTTAGGTGGTACAATAAGAGCACAAAAAATGTGCTTTGAGATGGGGATTTATTTTATAGCATCAAGGGCAAAAATAAAGAAACTTCAAACATGTTTTTTTTTTTAAGTGCTCCCGGCTGAATTATTCTTCAAAAACCAAGTTATAAGCCCATCTGGGGTCTAAGACAGATATGCTGACTGACCAATACATACAGAGCAACAGATAATTCTGTACATACAGTAGAACATCAGAGTTACGAACACCTTGGGAATGGAGGTTGTCTGTAACTTTAAAATGTTGGTAACTCTCAACAAAACGTTATGGTTGTTCTTTCAAAAGTTTACAGATTAACATTAGCTTAATAAAGCTTTGAAGCTTTACTGTGGAGAAGAAAAATGCTGCTTTTAACCATCTTAATTTAAATGAAACAAGCACAGAAACAGTTTCCTTACCTTGTCAAATTTTTTTTTTTTAAACTTTCCCTTTATTTTCTTTAGCAGTTTACGCTTAACATAGTACTGTACTATATAGGTTTTTTCTTTTTTCCCCTGCTGCTGCCTGATTGCATACTTCCGGTTCCAAATGAGGTGTTTGGTTGACAGGTCAGTTCATAACTCTGAGGTTCTACTATACTTTAGTTGCAAGAGAAAAGCATTTCTGAGACACAACTATTAAATTTAAAAATAATCACATGCATAAAGAATTAGCACTTTTACTGTTACAAGCTAAAATATATATATATTACCACACCTTCAGTTTCTTTTTTTGGTTCAGGATGAGTCAAGTGTAAATGAATAAAACGTGATGATTACAATGTGTGAACTACACTAGACCAGTCACTGCATTTATAGATCTAATGAAATTTATGCTGTCAAGCTTACATACAAGATTGCTAAAAGTGACAAGGTATGAGTTAAGCCTTGATGGACACTACCAACCCAGCAGCATACTTTATCAGTGGCTGCAACAGAACAGACAGCACATCTCACTGCCCTCTGCCTATGACGTGTAGGATCATGCAGCCTTCTTACTTTCTAAAATGTCATGATGGAATTTTTAAGAGATGCAGTGTGAACAGTAATGATACCCAGCTTCCCCTTCCATTCAAAATAGTAAAATGGGGGAGTGTAACAGTTTGGAACCATTACAAGATTCTGGGAAAGGGGACCACTGTCAGACCAATCCACCCTTCTCTTGCTACCAGAGGATGACAGATGTAGGGAGGGAGAGGGCATGTACAGTATCAGCCCAAGTCCAATGAGATTTCATGAAACACTAGTCTGAGATGGGTTTGAGACTGTGGCCGAACGACTGTAACAGCACTAATAAAAAACACACTGTTTGCCTAATGGTGGTTCTATTTGAGAGACTCAAGTTTGATTACCAACAGCAGTCTCTTCTTGCCTACTCCATTAAGAACAGGGAATGCTGCACAGACACAGGCTTAAGTATCTTCATCTTAAAACAAACAAACAAAAATTACTGATATTTTTGAAGTGCTATGGTTACAAGTAACACCTAAAATTACTATAACTGATAGAGAAAGAACTGGACAGAGAAACCATTTATTTCATTACTTAGTACATTTCACAGCACTTTGTGGATTCAGTTTCTTGTTTGCGTAACATTTGTACCCATCAAGAAGGAAGAGAAAC